TTTGTAAATTTTTTTTTTTTTTTTTTGGTACCGGGGATCGAACTCTGGTCCTTGGGTTTTCAAGGCATGGTGGAACCATTGAGCTAAATTCTGGCCTGTAAATACTTTTGATTTGCTATTACTAGTTGGATCATCTCACTGAAATAATATTTAAATCTTCTTAATAAGCTTTTCATTGTAACAAGTAATAGAAGTAATTAAATGAGGGCAAGGTTGGGCTGTGAAAGTCTGAGAAGACCAAAGCTGTTTATATTTTATAATAAAATTAATATTCATAAGCTCAAAGAGGTCTTCAGCTGTCCTACTCCCCCAGAGGGCTTAATAAATAAACAAATATACTATAATATATATGTGTGTGTGTGTGTGTGTGTAAGGATTTGTTATGGTTGTATTGGGGTTAATAGGACCTTGGGTGCCCTAGGCAAGCACTCTCCCACTGAACCACATCCCAGGCCTCTCACACCTTTTTTTTTGAGACAAGATCTTGTTACATTGCTCAGCCTGGCTTTGAACTTGCAATCCTGCTGCCTCAGCTTTCTGAGTTATTGGGATTACTGGTGAGTGCTGTTGTGCCTGGTGAGCTTTTAAACAATTTAAATTAAACATCCCATTTTAGGGTTACTGTGGACTTATAGAACACTAGCACAGACAATGCAGCTTCCCGTATTGGCATCCGATGCTGCCATGGGCTGTTGAACTGAGAGTGTGCGTGTTAGCGTCCTGGGAAGTAGAATTTGTCCATGCGGAGCTGGTGCCTGCTCACACCCGCACATCTCTCTGCAGATCATCATGGTGCGGCTGCAGAGGGTGACCTTCCTGGCCCTGCACAACTACCTAGGCCTGACGATAGAGCTCTTCAACCCTGTGAGTGCAGCTGCTGCCCTGCACGGCCATGTGGCCATCCCAGTTGTGGGTTGGTGAGACTTCGGGAGGTAGTAATGGCAATATTAATCTTTCTGCCCTGGAGATGCCCACTGCCTCTCTGGTCACTTCTCCTGTGAGTCAGGAGTACTGTGTTGGGGCTCAGGCAGGTGGTTGCATACGAATGTTCATGCTGTCTCTGCCCTGAGCTCCAGGAGCTGGGTGCCCTTGTACCCTCCACAGAGCCTGAGGTCCCTCTTGCTGGCACTAGCTCTGTCCTGCCCTTATTGGTGTGCTGAGCTGTGTCCTGGATAAAGGCAGCAGGGTCCGAATCCTAGCTCCCCTCCCAATATAACCCTGAGAGATAGCAGCCTATGGTGTGGACACTGCTGGTGTCCACCTGGTCAAGTTCTTGTGGGAAGAAGTGGCGCGGTGGCTTTACTTCCGTTCCAGAAGCCCCTGGGAGGTGGGGTACCAAGGAAGTCGGCGTGCAGTAGATAAGCCTCAGCTGCACCCCTGTGGTTAATGAGGGTTCATCTCCTCACTTGGACGGCTCCCTCACTGTGAGGATGTTAGGGTGTATTGCTGCATCCCTGTGTGTTTACATTCTTCTTCCTTCGTGTGTCACAGGAGAGCCAGGCCATCCCCCTCGCATCTGTGGCCAGCGTGGCTGCAGGACGGGCCAAGAGGCAGACATCCTGTAGCTTAGAGGAACAGCTTGAGAGGCCACCACAGCCCCAGGAGTTCTGTGACTCAGGTACAGCCCCACCAGGGTTAGCATCTCAGCCTGGGGCCCAGGTTCCTTCCTGCTCCATGTGGGTCTCCTCCCACCTGCCCTGTAGCTACCTCGTAAGCCCCCAGGACACCCTGACAAGTGAGCTTGGCTATCTTCTGCCCCTAGCTCTTCTCTTCTGTCCCTTGGTCCCCTCGCCAGTTCCCGTGTCCCCTCACCTATCCCCAGTTCCGCTCACCTGCCCCCAGGTCTCCTCACCTGGTCCCAGGTTTCCTTACCTGCACTCATGCCTGTCTCCCTGAAGATTGCAGCAGTAGCCGCTCTGCAGCCTCTGGGCCTCTGCTGAAGAGGAGTCAGTCTGTCCCTCTGCCTTCTATCCACAAAGTGATCTCAGATGAACTTGGGCAGTCCCAGACAGGTGACCCTGACCTTTTGGCCTCACAAGGTAAAGGACCCCACCACTGCCCAGCTGGCCCTGCTTGCAGGCACAATGTGCCTGTGGGAAGGCTGAGTGGTCTCTGCACGCATGGCCTCCGCTCTCTGCACCTTTTCCTATAGCCTGAAGAGGTGGGCACCCTCTTTGAAGAGTAACCAGCCCTTGCACCCTCACCCTGGGTTGAGGCACTGGGGGACATCTTACCCTGGACTCACTGGTAGCACCAGTCCCAGACATGACGCTGACCTTTTGGCCTCACAAGGTAAAGGACCCCACCACTGCCCAGCTGGCCCTGCTTGCAGGCACAATGTGCCTGTGGGAAGGCTGAGTGGTCTCTGCACGCATGGCCTCCGCTCTCTGCACCTTTTCCTATAGCCTGAAGAGGTGGGCACCCTCTTTGAAGAGTAACCAGCACTTGCACCCTCACCCTGGGTTGAGGCACTGGGGGACATCTTACCCTGGACTCACTGGTAGCACCTCTACACCCCCATATAAGGCCCACGTACACCAGGCCTTATATGTCCAAGCAGGGCTCAAGTATATGCTCTAGTGGGAATCCTCTTATCTCTGTCAGAAAATGTTGCCATGGGCCCTCTGCTCAGCAGAAACACTTGATGCTCTGTTGAAAACCAGCCATTTAACACCTTGTGATTTGTGTTTTGGGTCTCACATACTTATTTTTTGCACCTTCCTGGGTCATAAATATATTCTAAGCTTTCATTCATCTCTCTTACAGTATCAACATGCATATGAGGAAGAAACTTGGGCGTTACTGCTCTAGTCTAGGATGACAGTTTACCCAGCACCATTAATGAAAGTCTTTCATTCTCTCTTGTTTTTTGGGTACTACCTTCTTTAGGTATTGGGTTTCTGATTCTTCATGGATTCTTTTTCAGTGACAGCCTTAAAAAAAAAAACATATTTTTCATACTTGTAGAGTTTACTCTTTGAACATGTACAACCCGGTAGTTTTCAGCACATTCACAAAAATCATACTTGGATCGCCACCACCTGATTCTACAACTTTTTCACCACCTGATGAAGAGCCTGGGCCCCTGGTAGCCACTCCCTGCTGTCCCTCCTTAGCCTGGGCAACCACTGATCTTTACTTTTTTTTTTTAAAGGTCCACAAAAATGTGCGAGTCATTTGCTATTATACATAGAGAATAAACTGCCAAGAAATTAATATCAGAATCTTACTGAATGGTATTACAGTGACCATGTCTGAAGGATCAATTACTTATAAATAGACTTAAAACAGCAGATCAAAGTAAATTAAATAACAAGAGTGAAAAAACACAATGTGCAATAGCAAGAAGTTAGAAAACAATACCATTGCAAAAATTTATTAGTATACAAGTTAGTTTTGATAAACTAATGGTTACTTGTCACAGCCACTGATCTTGTTGACATGGATTCCCCAACCTGGACATTTCATTACTTGGATCTATTTTTAAATTTTTCTTTGTGCTCTATTCATACATTTGCCCATTTTCTATGTTATTTTTATTTTCATTAGCTTCTTATAGTTGTATAATACTTTTAGGGAATGTGATGAGTTTTCAAAAACTGAACCACCAGTCAAGCCAGATAAAGAAACACAGGCATTGGCCACTCTGAGCCACCGCATTGCTCTCCTGGCACCAGCAGCAGCCATGTTTGCTTGTAAGGCTTCTTTCCACCAGTGCTCACCCTCTGCCCTGACTTTTAGTTGCTTTTCCTTTGTTGAAGTGTTGTCACTTGGCTGGGCATGGCTGAGCCTTCCCATGGAATCCATGTGCCAACGGCTGTGGTTTCAAGTACTACTAGAACTTCCTGTTAATGGAGCACATCATGTGCTCCTGGGCCTGGTGCTTCTCTCTTGGTGGCATGTTGTTGGTATCTATCTGTGTTGTGTGCATCTGAGATGTGGTTTCTTAGCAGTTCATTTATATCCACCTGATGCCATGTGCTATGTACATGACCTTGTGCAAGTTGTAAAACAACCTGAAAAGATGGACATCCCAGTACTTGAGAAGCTAAGGCAAGAAGATCACTGTGAGTCCAAGGCCAGCCTGGGCTACATAGTGAGTTCAAGACCAGCCTGAACTGAGCTGCACAGGAAGACTCTATCTCAAAAAACAAAACAAAACACACAAAAAAACAAAACAAACAAAAATACCCTACCAATCTGAGAAATGGGTGTTATGAATCCTAGGTTTTGGATGAGGAAAGTACAGCTTAGGTAAGTCACTTGCACACATAGCTTGGTGGTGGTGTGTTAGATCCAAACCCAGGTGTATGTGATCCAAAGCTCACGTGCTTTGTCAGAATCTGAAGTGATTCAGAGTTTTGTTAAGACAGGTATTTAGTAATGTTTGAAAGTTGACTGTAGGTCACTGCTGTCTTGGAATACGGTTCTTCTCCAGGAGGTACCCTAGAAGCTTGGTCCCCTGGGTGTCTGTGTTGAAGTGGTGGAGGCTTGAGGGGATGTTGGGATGGGAGTGTAGCTCAGTGGTGCTTGCCTTGGAGAGAGGCCCTGGGTTTGAGCCTTAGCGCTCCACAAGAAAAAGGGGTTGGGAGAGATAGGGCCTCATGGCAGGTTGTTTAGGTCATGTGGGATCCATCTGCGTTACCAGGAGATAACACCCATATCCTGTGATAGAATTTGCTATCAGATGAGGACCTCCTGTAAAGCAAGGCCACCCTCTACACTTGGTTCCTTCTGCACCTGGCTGTTTCCTGTCTGATTCTCAGCAGCCAGTGAGGCAGAAACTGGCTGTTCATAAAATTCCCAGCCTCAGGGATTATGTCACAGTCACATCAGGTGGACCACACTGGCACACAAGGCATCCAGCAAGATGTCCTTGCCTCCTAGATTTACATCTTACCTATACGGGTTCTGATATTTGACGTGCAGTGAGTGCTCAGCCTGTGCTTGCCGTGTTTGTACCTGTGGACAGGAGGCAGCCGCTGAGCCTCCCCTCTGTTTGTAGGGGACAATGTGGGGGTTACTTCAGACCTGGGGATGGTGTATGACCGTGCAAGGGTCCTGCTGCACTCGGATAAGCACCCTGGGAACTCTGTGGCTGGCAAGGTAGGTCCTTACCTCTCTGAGCGTCCACATCCTCAGGTGCTGTATGGGGTTCCACTGTGTTGGCATCAGGCCCTAGGCTGAGCCTTCTCATGCTCTGCCTGCCACCTCTCCTCTGATAGCTGGTACCTTTGTTCTTTGCCAGACCAAGAAAAGTGTGGTTGTTGCAGAGACCCCCTCTGCTATCTTCCATTACTCAGAGAGTCCGTGCGACGAGACCAACTCCGGCGGGCAGACAGATGCAATCTTCAGAGCCGCCAAGAAAGACCTCCTGACCCTGATGAAGCTGGATGTAAGCACGTCACTGGGCAGAGTGGTGGCCGTGTTGCAACCTTTTGGAGCCCTTGCTCCCTGCTTTCCTCTTTTGTGAAGCTGCCCTGGGGTGGGGCAGAGCTGGTGGCTCCCAGACCTCTCACAGGGTCCCCTGGCTACCCCAGGCCTCAGGCACGAGTGTGCCGTGGGTCTCCTCTCAGCCAAGCAAGTTTCTCTTCGGTTATTTGGGTTTTTTTGGTACTGGAGATCGAATTCAGGACCTTGCACTTGCGAAGCAGGTGGCTGCACCACTGAGCTAAATCCCTGGCGTGAGTGTCTCTTTGGGCTTTTGGGATCAGTGGGCACCGTGGAGTAGGTCTTCCTCACGTGGGTTGTTGTGTAGACTTGTGTCCCTGACATTCTTAAGCAACTTCAGATATTTGGTGTATGGAAGTCAAGAAGTTCTTTGTTTCCTTGTGATGAGGACACAGGGCTCTGCAGACTGTGAGCAGATGCCTGGTGGGTCTCCCCTGCTTTCGAGCTCTGTGCATCTAGCTGCAACTGCCCTGTGCTTGGCATGGAGCGAGGTGAGTCATCCAACCTGTCACTGCCATCACTCTAGCTGCCCACCATGCTAGGCCCTCCTGTTGCCCCACCATGGGTGATGCATGGTGTGCCTAGCCCAGGCTGCTGTGGGCAGGGCTCAGGACCTGCTGTCCATTACGCACCCTTGTGTGGACCCGAGTCAGGACCGCCAGGTCATGGGCATCTCCAGGAGCTGGCGAGACCTCTGCAGCTCATGTCATGCCAGCCATCGGATTGTCAGGCTTTGTAGTTAAGTGTGGTGGGACTGTAGAGGCAGACTTGTGTTTCAATCTTATTTACCTTGGTTACTAAGGAGATTGAGCACCTCTGACGTTTGTTTGTTGTATTGAACCTAAAAGATTGTCCTTTCCTCCATTTTCTGTTGAAAGTCTATTCTTTTCCTTTTGATTTTTAGTATTTCTTTGTATTTTCTAGACAGTACTCCCTGGATGGCTGTTGACCTTGCATGTCATTTCCTCTAGGACTTGCTGTTTTGGCTTCTGAATGGTGTCTGGTAAACAGAACTGGGGATGGAACCCAGGGCCTTGCCTGCTGAGCTGCATCTCCCTCCAGGCCTTTTTATTTTATTTTGAGATAGCATCTCGCCAAATTGCCCAGGCTGAACTTGACCTTGCACTCCTGCCTCAGCCTACTGAGTAGCTGGGATTGCTGGTGTGCGCCACTATAGCTCGTGCTCTCTTAGGTTTTAGTGCAGATGGAGTTAATTTTTGTGTATGATGCCAGAAGGGCTTGGGTTGCACATTTTTTTCCTCAAGAAAATCTGGTGGCTGCACATCCTGACGTGAGTCTGGCCTCTGTCTGCCTGGTCTATGGCACATGTCAGGAGCCCAGCCTGCCCCACCTCACCCTTCTGTTTTCTCTGGCTGCCACCACCTGGAGAAAAAGAAAGGGAAGCTGCCTTACACCCTCTCCGGCTTTCAGAGCCAATGCCTAAGCCTCTGTTCAGAGGTGGAGATTTTCTTCAAACTTTTGCCATCTGTACCCATGGTTCAGCATAGCATGGCTTCTTCTTCTTTTTTTTTTTTTTTTTTTTTTTTTTTTTTTTTTTTTTTTTTTTTT